ACTATTGAATACTTTTGAGAAGAGCAAGGAGAATAATCAGATCTCTGTGTTAGACCATTCTGAAGACAATATGATTAAGAGTTTAAAAGGGAACAAGACCAAAAACAGAGAGAAGTATTAAGTTCATGGCAACATTCCAAGTAAGAGTTGTTGTGGGCCTAAATTAGGAGACCAGTAATGGAGATACAGGAAAAGGTGTAGATTCAGAAATATTTAGAAAGTAATGGGTAACAGAGAGAGAACTGACAATGATGCTCACATTTTTGGCTTAGGTGACTCAGTGAATCACAGAAAGGAAACAGATGATAAAAATGTTGAGTTTGAGGTACCAATGGAATACAGAAGTGGCTGTGTATTACACACAGTAGACAGCTGGAAATACAGGGCTGGAATTTAGGAGAGGTATTTTAATATTTGTGTACATGAAGGTTTTTTTTCAATAACCAAGAGTTATTTACCATTTCAATGGGAAAGCAATTGTTTTATCATTATTTGTATAATGCTTCAAAGTTCACAAAACATTTTAAGATCCCATATTATGCTTATCACATTTCATACTTTTGTTATAAACAAACATGAAGTTAGAAAAAGTTATTATTCCTATTTGATCAATAAATATTTGAGTATTAACTATATGCCAGGCACTGTACCAGCCACTAAGCAAAGTACCAAAATAAACCCATGCCTTCACAGACCTTATGTAATAGGAGGGGAACCAAAAAGCAATAAATGTAACAAATAAGTATGTTACAAAGTTGTGCTATGAAAAAGAAAACAGAATAGGGAAGGATTAGGAGTGAGAGGTGGGAGTTGAAGGTACAATTTTCAATAGGGGTAGGATAAAATCTCATTAAAGAGGTAACATTTAAGCAAAGACGTCAAGGATGTGAAAAAATTAGGCATCTGTATTATCTCTGTGAGGAAAACTCCCTATTTCCCACTAGAGGGAATAGCTAGTGCAAAGGTCCTGAGATAAAGAGTGTGGCTGATACATTTAAGAAACAAGTCAATGTGACTGGAATGGAGAGAGCAAGTGGGAGGATGACAGGTGATCACAAAGAGAAGGGGTGGGGAAGGGAAGGCAGGTCCTGTAAGACCTTACAGGCCACTCTAAGGACTGGCTTTTCCTCTGAGAAAAATGAGAATTCAAAAATTATGAGCCTGACCAGGTTCGACTCCCGCATGGGATGGTGGCTATGCCCACTCGCAACTAAGACTGAACTCAGCACCTTGAGCTGAGCTGCCGCCCGGATGGCTCAGTGGATAGAGCGTGTGCTCTTAAACAACAAGGCTGCTGGTTTGACTCCCACATGGGACGGTGGCGACGCCCACCCGCAACTAAGAATGAACACAGCACCTTGAGCTTAGATGGGCAGCCAGATGGCGACGGGCGCCCTCCACAATGAAGACTGAAGAACAACTTGGCTGGTCCCCTCCCCCAATTCCCCAATAAAAAAATCTTTAAAAAAACAAAAAAAAAATTATGAGCCTTACACAAAAGCATATAGACAATAAATGGCAAAGAAGCTAGGATCTGACCTAGGATTTCCAGATTCTCTACACCTGTGTACTACTCTTCCAATTTGCCACTCATTAGCTCACAACTTCTCTCCCAGGAAGTCTGAATTTAAATACTCTCAAAAAGCTAATTTTTATAAATACCTTCTAGGTAAGAGATGCACAAGCTCTCCAGTTAACATTCTAATCCCCCACAACCATAAAGGGAATTTATGAATCCTGATGACTAATCTAAATCCTACTAACATTCCAGCCTATATTTTAGGTGATTACAAACCCCACCTCCCCTCCCCAAATGAGAGAAGGTCAAGAAGCTTTCATCAGAAGGCTTAAAGCATGACTTTCAGGTCAAATAACAGTAACCTGAATTATTTTAAAAATGTATACTAGCCAGATGCAAAAAGTAACAAGATAATGGCTCAGGAATGTGGAAGTCATGTCATTTCCCTTAATAGTTTACTGGTTAGTATTAATAACAATTATGCTGTCAAAGAAGCTTCTGCAGTAACTACAACTCTTTGACGTCTAGGATTTGATCTCTTCATACCTCAAAACTAGTAAGAATGTGTTCTTATTTATCTGTAGGTTTTGGTACAATAACCCAAAACTCTGGATAGTTTCTTGCCAGTTGATGGCAACTTAAAGCAATGAAAAAGATTAGAGACTTTTGAGGGAGACACCATCTATGAAGTGTATCAGACAGAGTAAGCCCTTAATGGCCCTGGGTCAGTCCTTTCCTACTGGATGAACTCAAACTGTACAGGAATATTTCATACATCCGTAAGACAGAAGGTAAAAGATGGAACATGAAAAAGGAGCATTTCAAATCAGATCTACTTCTCTTCAAAGGCTTTCATCATTTCTACACAAATATAGGCGGCTCTGCTTCATGGACCCTGAAGCCACCCAAATCCCCAACCAGTACCTACAGAAAAAACATCATAGGGATTACTAACAATAAACCAAGTAATATGGCTAACAGAAGCTTCCCCCCGCACAGCCAGGAGTTTTCAACAGAAATTGAACGTCCTTATGTTACCTCTTCCCAAGCTTAACCAATGCAGGGGAACTGAAACTTTGTGTGGCACTGTCTGATAGGTTGGATTTTTTTTCTGACCAAGAGGTGGACAGCTTTACGCCAGGACTAGACTTATAGTAAATCTGGGTATGTGTCTTTTTTTTTCCTCTTCCCCTGGCTATTGTGCCTTGATATGTAATGATGCAGGGCTTTTAGTACTGCAAAGGATCTGGAAAACAAAGTCTTTTGGTCCCAGTTATGGTTCAGATCTTACAATTTCTACAGCAGCTGTTTTAATCAACCAAAGCTGGCTTGGCTTTTCTCAATGAGCCAAACATGAGCATTCTGAGCTGAGGGCAGAGGGGCTGCATGTCAGCATAACTCCCTATAGGGTGGCTAACATGGAATCTGCTGGAGTCTAGCAACCAGGACAGCACAGATGCTGTTCCCCTACACCTACACCTACAGTTTCGTGGGTGCAGGATGCTAGAAAGAAAAACTCAGTAAACTGAAACAAGAGGCCTAGTTTACATACAAGATACTGTTTAAAGCTAAAGTGAATCCGGAGGTCCTGGCATAGGATTAGGATATTATTACCAACACACTTCCATACTGCTCTTCTCTAACCAAAACCCAACCTGGAGGTCTGGCCAGGCCCAGCCAGAAAAAAAAGGTGGAGGGGGGCAGCACACAGCTTTTTAATGTACTTTTAAGACTATGAGGTTCAGAACAAATTTCTCCCATCTCCCTCCGCCACCACCCTGCGGCCTTATACTAACCACAAGAGTAAAAGTTACCACCAGAAGGGGGCTGATCAGGGAACCTGGCTAACATTGTTCCTAGACACATACGTCAATGCAGCCTCTATTCAGACCCTATTCGGACTGCCTCTAAACAGGAAGTTAACAGACATCACACATAGGGGAAGCAAACCACAGTGTCATAAAGATGGATACTGCTGTCAGCTACAAATCACTCTCACCTCATCGAAAGTGTTCCCAAGTAAGGACTAGGCAGGACAGAAGTCCATAAGCCTCACCTCTTCTCAAACTGGGTCACTCAGCCCACAGGTTCAGCCTTCTGAGTCCTGCTGATTAATACTTATCTACTTCACTCTGTGCTGTGATGACTATCAGTGCCACTAAACTAAAAACGGAAGACAGCACTACCAGATCAGTGCTCCTATTAACTTATTATTCATACAACCTATCTTCTCAAGAGCCCAAGGAAAAATTATCTTTGACCCAGCCGAGCTCAAAACAGAGACTGGGTATCAGTCACAAAAAAAGCAGCACCGGTGTGGGCCATCCCTCAAAATATACTGAGCCGCTCCACAGTACCACCTTCAGCAGCCCCAGAAGGAGACTCCTTCCTTACCAAGTAGCAACAGAAATGCTACCCCAGGACAAGACTCCATCAAGACTGCTCCAGCACCAAAAATAGGAATCCAAGTGGCTATCAGACTTGCAGGAAGAGTCAGTTTATCAAAGAAAAGAGCAATAAAGTTAGTACTAAACTCTCAAATAGGTTAATCTCCAACATATAGACTCCAACAATATAGACACTATGCGGCTGCCAGAAAGCCATCAGAATGCATGTGCACGGGGAGGAGGGCTGGATGGCTGGAGGACAGAGGTGAGAGGGAAGGGGTCACTGTGCACCACACGCGTGCACTGTGTATTCAAAAATTAAACTGTTAGGAAGAAAAAGGTTTTGAAAACCTCAGGAGCATCAGCTCTTCTCCAACACAGATCTGCGAAACCTGCTTTTACTCCAGCTGCTGCAAGTCCAAACCCCTCTGTGGCAGTCTGGCCCTCTTGCTTTGCAGAAATGGATTAAGTCTCCTGCAGCTCTCTTACAGGCACACAAAAGGCCTTCAAGTAACCATTTATCAGAAAACGAGAAAGCTGGTTCTGGGGAGGTTACCTGGTTCTCCAGGTGACAGCAGAAGAAAAGGCCGACAGTTAGCCACCCACCCGCCGGCACTGCCTCCATCTCCACCTCTGGGCCAGCCCGGCGAGCTAATAACACCTTGTGTTTGGAGGGAAGTTGACGCTGGGGAAGTCAAGAGGCCACCGTACCTTTCCGAGGGGGGGGGGGAGACGCCGTCCCGGGCCGGCGGACGGCGCCCCCGCCTCTGCACTCACAGGAGCGCCTAGCTCCTTAGAGTAACTGAGCGCAGGGAAGCAAAAAGTACTCCAAGTCCCGGCTGGGTTAGGGAAGGGTGAGCTCCCGTCCCATCGACCCTCCGGCGCTGAGCCGGGGACGCCCGCCGATCAGCCCCGGTGGGTCCCGCACGCCCGGCGGGGGAAAGGGGTGGTTCGGTGACTACCGACAAGAAGTGCCCAGCCAGACCGAGACAATTCCCTTCTCCTACGGGAGGGCGAGAAGGGAACGGGGGGCGACGGCATAAAGGGGTCGGGTTCTGCGCTCCTGATCCCTCTACCTAAAGAAAGATAATTACCCCGTGCTTCCTTCATCCTTCAGGATCTCCCGTTTGTCCCAACCGCCGCCAAACACAAGACTGAAAGCAGGGAGCGGCCCCCGCACCCCGAGGGCACCACTGGGGGGGTGGAGAGAGTTAAAGGGGGGGGGGCGCGCTAGAGAGGAAAGGAGGGGAGCATGGCGGGCATGAGGCAGGGAGTGAAAGCGGGGATGGCGGGGGAAACGGGGCGCGAGGGAGGGGAGAAAGAGTAAAAGGAGAAGGAATGAAGGGACACGAGCTGGGGGCGCGCAAGGCCGAAGTGAAAGGCCGGGGCGCGCGCGCGGAGCGGGGGGAGGGGATGAGGTGAAGGGGGAGCGCGAGGCGGGG